TGGGTTGATTTTTTTACTTGTTTTTATATGTATTTTATTTATTTTGATTTCTTCTATTTCGTCTATTGTAACGGGAGTGCTTTGTTTATTATTTGTTTGGGTTAATTGATTTTACTTGTTTTTATATTATTTTGTTTATTTGTATTCATTCATTTCCCTTTTCGAGTTTTAGGTAACGTAGTAAAAATTTGTTATCGTGTCTGCATTTTGAGATGAGCTCAAATCGTTGATTTAGTACTTTATTTTGGTCTGGGGTAGATATGAGAGAATGAGATAGATGAATATATATATATAGAGAGAAAGAAACAGAGAAAGCTATTTTTCCCCCAAACAAAGTTTACTGTTTTTTGTTCGCTTGATGATCTTTTCCTTATTTTCAATGATATTTTTGGTGTGATTTGTGTTTTGTTTTTAATATCCAAGACATATTTGGAAAGCATTGTGCTGTTCGCGTATTTACTGTTTGTGAAAGATATTTTTTGTGCATAGTTTTTTTGTTTCCACGGTCCTTCAGTTTCTCCTATGTATACTTTTTCTTCATTAAATGGTGATTTTAGTATTTATAGACAGTACTGAGATCTCATCAATTTACAGTTAAGCCGTAAGTGCTATGCTAACAGTTTTTTCTTCTCGTACTTCTCGTTTATGGAACTCCCTTCTATCTCCATGCTTTCCAGCCAACTTTATTATGCAAAAATTCAAATGCAATGTCGATGGCTATTCATTGCCCACTTTCTCTTCCTGCTCATTATAAATGTTTCTGTTCGGAATTCTTCCACACCCTGCAAACCCCTGTGTCTTAGTGGCTTTACTGCTATTGCTTGCGGTGATACAGATAAAAAATGTTTTTAATGGTAGCATAGGCTGCTGTCATCTCTGATTTAACAGCCATGTACACCTTCAGGGGCAGAGATCAGTCTTTCTGACTGGACTAAGATCTTGTCTATTACGATATCTAAAGAATTTGAGCATTGTATTTCAAGAATTTATGTCTCTCTCACTTTCTCTTTATTTAGCTAAATCTCTCTCTCTATATATATATATATATATATATATATATATATATATATATATATATATATATATATATATGCAGAGTGAAAGTAGAGTGTGACGGAGAGAAAAAATGGATGAGTATATTATGCATATAAAAAAAATTAGACAATGAGACACAGACAATTTTTAAAAGATTTTTTGTAGTAGTGTATAATACGCACACCTGATTTTGCTTATTTTTTTTAGAAATAAATGCGTATTATACATGGAGAATTACTGTATTCATCTTCATACACACACGCACACATATATGTATCACTTATTTTAAGCATATCGAACCATGCAAGGCAGTAAATCCACTAAGAATATATATATATATATATATATATATATATATATATATATATATATATATATATATATATATATATATATATATATATATAGATAGATAGATAGATAGATAGATAGATAGAGAAAAAGACTTCTTGAAGATGCTGGGATAGATAGATAGATAGATAGATAGATAGATAGATAGATAGATAGATAGATAAAAATGCTGAGATAGATATGAACAAACTGAGATAGATAGATAAAAAGACTACTTGAAGATGCAGCGATAAATAGAAAGATAGATACATAGGTAGATGAATAGGCTGAGATAGATAGATTGATAAACATGCTGTGATAGATATGAACAAACTGAGACAGACAGACAGACAGATAGATAGATAGATAGATAGCTAGGAACATACTTATTATATACGAACAGATTGAGAATAGATAGATGCACACCTACGTGGAGGGATATATACATATAAAGATATGAATAGACTCAAAATATGTCTATATCTAGAGAGCTAGATAGGTATGAGAGAATGAGATAGAGGAATATATATATATAGAGAGAGAGAGAAAAAAGTGAAAGAGACAGATAAAAATAAATATATATATATATATATATATATATATATATATATATATATGGATGGAGAGAGAGAGAGAGAGAGAGAGAGAGAGAGAGAGAGTGATCAGCCTTGAGCGTTTTGTTAACGTGCCATTTCTGTTTTTCCGATCGATTCAATGTTTAGCCTGTATATAAAAAAAAAACAGTCTTTGTCTTCGCCTCAGGGGCCATGTTCTCGCATTGTTTCTTCTTACGAATCTTCGGGTTAAGAACTGGGGGTTCGTAAGTCACAAGGAAATATCAAACCTCAAATGGCCTCGAGACAGATGTCTAAGATTTCCAACCGAAAAAGAAAAGAAATCGAAGAAAAAATACTTGCACATCTCGAGATTTTTTGGTAAGATTTCAGTTGAGATGAACGTTTTCATAGACGCGTATTTCATATAAGTATTGAAGAAAATGCTAACAAAAAGAGATAAATAAAAAGAGGCGGGAATGTTTATGATAGGTTTTAGTTAAGCAGAACGCTCGGAGTTTTTTTATTTGCATTTTAAACAAGACACAAAAATAAAACACACCCATACATAAATATAGATGTATACATAGCTATATATAGAGAGAGAGATAAAGAGAAATATCAACATATATATATATATATATATATATATATATATATATATATATATATATATATATTGTTAGGAAAGGTGATATAAGGAAAAAGCCTGAGCGTAGATTAATATTTGGATAATATTCAATGGCGGGACTCTCGAGGATTTTCCTTCCGAGTGAGTTATTTTATATTTTTATGAGTGTAGCATTTTTAAATTTAATGCACTAGTCATACATAGAAATAAATTCGACCGCAATTTGGATTTAAAAAAATGCTACACTCATAGAAAAAGAAAATAACTGACTCATACAAATAGATAGATCGTCTTTTCATGTTGACTTGAATATCGTCTAATGTTAATTATGTTTTAGAAATATGTCCTGAAGAAGGTCTACTAGACCGAAACGTCTGACGTCGACGTTAAATTAACATTGAAACAGCATAATTGCATATTCTGATTTTTGTTTTTTCGTATATTTTTCTTCATACTGTCGGATCTATATCCATATATTTGTTTATATATATATATATATATATATATATATATATATATATATATATATATATATAATTATTATTTATAAAAAAATTTATAACATAAGTATGTTATACAATCACTACAAAAATAGCCATTTCGTTTCAACACCCTTACTTTGTATTGAGCAGTTTTTCAAACCGACCAAAAGACTTTAGCCACTACTGGAAGTGTTTTAAATGTAAAGACAAACCTGAAAACAGTTAGACAAAAGGGATGAAAGTAATATCACAATTGTTTCAGTAGGCAATCCACAGTTAACAGCTCCACATGTGTGGGGTGAATACAGTTTTAATATTTAATACATTTTTTTTTTAACAGAGAAGTTTTAGTTTATTCAGTACGCAGGGTCACAGTCACAAAGAGAAAACACGCACATATATAAATATAGCTATATACATAGATATATATTAAGAAATGGACAAGGTCCGACAATTTATTTATTAAAGACATATTTTTATGTTTAACGTTGTTATTTTATAGATACAAGTATTTAAGCAAATGCTCTGTTTATGATAAACAGTATTAAATAACATTTACCGGCCTGAATGTCTTAATATATGACGTCATTTGTTTACATTCGATACGCCAGAGCAGTTATGAATGTACGAGATTCATGGAAAGTTGGAGTTTATAAGCAGTAAATTCGACCTTGTCTACCGATTGGTTCTTTGTAGCTCAAACGGTAAAGGCACGTCAGCGTATATGACGGTTCCGTATAGGATACAGGTTCGAATCCTGTCAAAGAACGAAAATTTTCTATGAAAATTTCTCGGACATTCAGGCCGGTAAATGTTATTTAATACTGTTTATCATAAACAGAGCATTTGCTTAAATACTTGTATCTATAAAATAACAACGTTAAACATAAAAATATGTCTTTAATAAATACATAGATATATATATAGAGAGAGAGATAAAGAGAAATATATATATATATATATATATATATATATATTCTGTTAGGAAAGGTGATAAAAGGAAAAAATTAAAACAAATTGAAAGTTCGTATATTAGCAAAAATAGACATTAGCTAAAAATATCGGATTTCTGAGATGAGGTATTATGTACACTATTTACATTATTCGGACTATTGTCCTCATCTTTGTCGCCATATTTATTACAACGTTTCAGCCCTTCAGTGCCTGTCTATATTTCTGAGATGAGGTATTATGTACATTTTTACATTATTTGGACTATTGTCCTTATCTTTTTCGCCATATTTGTTACATCGATTCGGCAGTTGTACGCTCCGGCCTTCTTCAGGTGCTCACTGGGGTAGTTTGTTGTAGTTCCACGTGCCATGTTTAATGGATGCCAGTTATCACTTATTTCCTGTTAATTCCAAATTCTCCACTGCCTTAACCGGGTATTGAACTCACACTCTTTGGGGCTTGTCACTGGATCTAACCAACGCTTTTATCCACTGTGCCTTGTGTCTTTGAGGACATCTGTGCATGAATTTCTTGGTATTATAAACTTAATAATTGCATCTATCATTATTATAATTACACCACCATTAGTAATCACTTTTACTACAATACCTTTTAACTAACAATATTATCATTACCACCAACGCACAACACCATCACTTACACATCACACCCACTATTAACATATAAATCCACTACAATCTTTATTACTCCCCCAGCATATTTAATACCTTAAAACAATATGATCAGATATAATTTCCATATGTAACCATGAGAATAAACACCTATTACCAGGCAGCTTTAATATAATAACAATAATAATTTTGTAATTAAAATATTAAAAATTATAGCAATCTCCAACTACCGTTTATACAGCAATCATTTTTTCCAGTGCTCATATTGAAATTTTTGTTGTTATTATAACATGTTTTTACTAAAGCTCATATTGCAACTTTTTGTTATCATTGCTTTTCTCTGGCACTCCTTATTACTGGTTCCCATATTGTATTCATTTCTATGCTTGGTCGGCTCAGGAGATTTTTCTGGCCTAGCATATGTACTGATTCCTTAAATTTACGAATTTTCCAATGGTGTTCTTTGTCTATGATCTCAACCTGATCCCACAGAGGGCGGTGATCTTCCTTCTCTCTCTATATGTTGTCAACCACGCCTGATTTTTTCACTTCTCCTTGTGTTACAGCTTTCTGGTGTTCTTGAAGCCTTACCTTAAATATGAGGAAAATAGTCCGAATAATGTAAATAGTATCGGAATAGAAGTTGTCAAAAGAACAACGAACATGGAATATTGGCAAGTGCAAAAAGTTATTTTAGTCGATGAATATAAAACAGGGTTTACAGTCTAATACAAGAGAATATTTACGAAGACCAGTGAGGCAAAGAAATAATGCAAAATATGCCAGAAAGAGGGAAGAACTTCGTGCTGAACACATAAAGGTGTAGGGTCGTATCAAATGGTAGAAGAAAATTGGTAAAAGTTTATATAAACTTAAACAGCGAAAACTATATTAGTTTACAACGGTCTAATCTTCTGCCAGACTATGAAGATGGAGAAATCTTTCAGCATGTCGGTGCTCCTTGCCGCATATCCCGTCCAACAAAAAATTTTCTTGTAGATGAAGATGTTTAACTTTTGGAAGACAGGCCATCACAAAGACCTGGTCTCAATATAAATGAATCACAGTGGTGGGAAGTGAAGAAAAAACTGCTCCAACGAAAACTACGCAAGGGCGTTAGGACTACTGACAAGAAGAATTTGGAAAACAAATTCACAATGAGAGAATCTGAATTTTATTCTATTTAATGGCAATTCAAATTGAGGCATTTCCTCGAGCAAAAAATAGCAGCACACTTTAAAACATGCTTGCTTTGACGTTTTGAAATTTTTGTTATAAAATTATGAAGTTCAATAGTTGCAAAAAAAAAATCATTTTTAACTTAAGTACTAAAAGGTGAAATTATTTGATGGTGACCCAGTATTTTTGTACAGCCTTTTGTCATCATCACTATGCTTAAGATATTATATAATCCAGCATGCAGCATCAGCGAAAATACAGTAAAACGTACCGAGAAAAGCATGCTGCTAATCACTCTCGATTTTAAGGTGAAATTAACAGAAGTAATTAATTTACCAACGAGGCCCAATAGTTTTACATGGCAATGTATATCCAGAATTTATACATTTCGAATATTTTGTAGACCAGATGCAATCTAAAACTTATTCTCTTTAATGGTAAATCAAATTGAGGCAATTATTCGAGCCAAAGTCAGCAACACTAATTACTAACTCCACGCCTTTGTACTTTCTGTAATAATAAAGATCACTTTTTTATAGTGGCACCGTATTCTTGATTGACCCTTTTTCAGCATCACCATACTTAAGATGCTCCATCCTCCATCATAGAGCAAAACAGAGTAACTTGTTTACAGCCCTCATAGATCATAAGATTTACAGAGGAAAGCTTACTTTTAATCACTCTGGATTTTAGGATAAAAATTATCATAAGTAATTAATTTAGCAAGGAGGCCCAAAAGTTTTGCATGCCAATTCATATCCAGAATTTATCCATTTCAAAAGATTTTGTCGAACAAATGCGTGAACTTGATTTTGCTTGACACCATATCTGAGGGGATCTTACTGCTAATACTTGAGCAGATAATCTCCACTGGGGTTACTCATTTGGTAGTGAGATTCCAAAGGATGATCAGATGGATTTTAAATATTTTACGATAATTTCAAGTGTCGTTTTTGTTCCAAATTTTCTTTGAACAGTTGCAGGAATGCTTGTTGTGTTTATGTAGTAAAACGCGGGTCTCCTGGTTTCCCGTAAAACTTGTTGCGGACTCGAGTGTGAGTCCAAGTAATTAAAAAGTAACAAAAGACAGTATAAAACAAACGACAAGGTATCTATTAACAAAAGTATTACGATGACAATAAACGAAGAATGCATTTAAAGACTAGTTTCATAAAGCGTTTAAATTAGACGATGCGTGTTTGAGTTTGTGAAGTTTGTGCGTAGATCTACGTGATAGATACGGGTGTGAATGAGCGCAAAAAGTTACGAGAGAAAAGTAGGAGATTGAAAATGAACGTGACCCAGTGGGGGATATTTTTACCCCACGGGCGACTCCACCTTTATGCCAATGTTGTAAAAAAGGAAAGCGAATAAGCGGGAATATTTAGAGGCAATGATAATCGCACTCAGTGACCCTTTTTTTTCCTTTTTTTTACGAAAGTCCAACACAACTTTTTTTTATACCAGTTTTATTATTTTGTCTAGTTACAATGTTTATTTTCTGGGAATAAAGGCCTTACATTCCATCTTCGGAATTCTGTGGCCAATTAAATGTATTTACTTTTGATAACAATTTTATTACTGTAACTAGTTTAAGACTAGAATTATATATACACCCTAGTACTTTTATATAGACACCCTTGTATTTTTATATAGACACCCTTGTACCTTTATACAGACACCCTTGTACTTTTAAAGGGCAATAGTAAGTGTCATGGGTCCTTATCTATAACTACAGAATGAACTCTTCCTAACACTATGTATACTACACCTCTCAAGAGAGAGGGTCGATTCAAGCCGAGAAGCTCGACTTGACGGTCGAACTCTCTGCTTCTGAGCAGAGAGGAACCCGGACGAGGCTCCGCCGAAGGGCAGAGTCTCGTTCGGGGAGGTTGACCAACCCGATCCCGTTTATACGGGTTCTACGGGCATTTTTTGGCCGAGCCTACGGGCTCGGGAAACCCACGTTAAACTCGGCCTTGTGCCACATGCAACCCTCGGGGGGGGGGGCTAGATATCGAGTCGAGGCAGGGCGATAGTAGTTCACTCCAAACCAGACTGACATCTTGTATTATTATTTCGTGTAATATACCTTCGTTATTTCTACTCTTGTGTTCGTGTTGTTCTTCCTTGGTCCTAACCGGGACCATAACAATTAGAGAATGTGTTTTTGAAGTTTTTGTAGGCCTACATGATAGACGTGTGTGTGAAAGAGTACAAAAAGTAACGGGCGAAAAGTAAAATATTGAATATGAACGTGCCTTTGTGAGGGACACATTTTTTTTCTCCACAAAATACGACTATATCTTAATAGCCAGAATTGTAAAAGAGGATGTGCGAGAATATGATTGCCTATTCATAGTCTTAAGAAGCGTCTTCTAGAGACGTATTTTTTAAAGGAAAGTCAAGGGGGATAACCCATAGTATTTTCTGGTTACTCGCATGCTCCCCAGGTGGTATTCTCAGCACCTTTCTCTAGAACTGAGTTTCTCTTCCCTCCTTTCATCTTTTAAGAATTTCGGCAGCATTCACTGTCACATAGGAGGAATAATATTACATGTCAGAAGTCGTTGATTTGTTTCTAACGAAATATAAAACTGTCCTTTTCTGATTCGTCGTCTGTGTTCATTTTATTTCATTTTCCTTAAAACTTCATAACCGATGAGGCCGGGCCCACCAATGCATACTGAAAGGTAGCCATATGCGCCCCATGTTAACAAAAAAATTATTTATGAAATATTCTTATATTTAAAAATATCTTTTTAAAAAAAAAAAGAAATAGAGACACATACCACATGGTTTCCATGTCTGAGTCAAGTTTTCCTTATTTGATAATTTAAGCCGGATGGTCTATTGTCTCAAATATTCGTCCTCCGACAGGATTCGAACCTGCATCCTATACGGAACCATCATTTAGCTTGACGTGCCTTTACCGATTTGGCCACGAAGGAACGTTCAGTTAGCAAGGTCGAGTTTACTGTATTTAAACTTCAATCTTCTGTGAAAATTTCTCGGACATTCAGGCCGGTAATTGTTGTTTAATACTGTTTATTATAAACAAAGCATTTACTTTACTTAACGTATCTATAAAAAGAATGTTTAAACATAAAAATGTCTTATATATATATATATATATATATATATATATATATATATATATATATATACCCAAACATATATTGTAGGATAAAAACATAAAAACAATCCACAGATGTTGATTGATCATTAGGAAGAATTTATTGATACGAGATATCCCCTAGCATGGAATGAAAATTATCGAAATACGTCGATTGATCCATAGGAAAAAAGTTAGTGATAGGAAATATACCCTCGCTGCAGTAACTGGTACTATATACATCATTGGTTCACAAACGTTTTTTCCTCTGCTCCGCACTATTGAAATAGAAAATGGCTGGCGCCTCACCAAAGTCAAGTCCCGGTGAAAAAGGCACAACCAGCCCTACGGCAAAGAAGGTCCAGAGAAAGGTTAAAAGGGAGATAACCGCTTATTCACAGTTAGAACATTATTATTGATAACTCTCTCCTCCAATTTGGGGACTATATTTACTATAATCTTAATACTTGATATAATGCAAAAAGATCATAATGATAAAATCAGTAAATAATTATTTGATACTATTTAAACTAGGACTCATGCATGCAATTACAAGTAATCTATAAAATATTTTAAAATCTGAAATTATTTATTTTTTAGCATATGAATTTTTTTGAAACTATTTCTAAATCTTTGTCTTTCAATCAGTCTGCTTCACCTGCTATTCTCTTCTACAGTACCTATGAGGCGCGCTGTACTTTTTGGGAAGCACCCCACTAGCCTAGTCGCGTACATGACATTGATTAATTGCAATGACTCAGGATTTTTTGTAACCTTTCATTGAAGATAAAATTTCCGTCATTTTAAACCGCTAGCAATTTTTACTTACTAAAGAAGATCATATATGTAAATCTCTTTTGCTTAAGAAAGCCACTATCCTGGGCAGCAAAATGAGAACAGTCTACATCTCGTTGATTGAATAAATGAGTAATTGGAAAAAAAAGTTCTCTAGCATTGGAATGAGAAAAATCTACCACAACTGAGTTCAATAAATGCATGATTAACGAAAATTAAGCAGATTTGCGATATCTGACATGTTAAATAATATAGTAGTAAATTTTTATTTTTTAGAGAATTGTATTTCTCACTGACTTCCTCATTTTGACCTTTGAGGTCAGAATAGGAAAACAAAGGAAGTCGATTTTGATTAACTAAAGCTAGGGTGGTAATGTTAGAGATACAAACGATTTCAGTGAGTTTTACACGTCGAACAATATCGGTGTCTCAAAACCGTGTCTCGGAACTTGCTCCTCAGTGGGGTGGAACAGCAACCCCACTGACTAGTTAGAAGATGTACCCGTCGACGTGGTTAGTAAAATAATAGTTAAGATTTCTTTGTTGAAGTTCTCATTAAATTCCAAGCAAAATAAATGGCTATTAGCAGCCGGGAAAAGAAGCCAACGTTATTATTGCGGTAAACAAGACCTCTCCACAGAACGATAGGGTGTATACAACACTTTGTATGGAGAGTTAAAGTATACAGGATGTAAGTTTGTTACGCCATCGACCAATTTCACCTGAATAGTAAACATTCAAAAGCCTACAGTGATGGGTAAATTACGTTTTTGACAGGTTCTTTTCTTGCTTTGATAAATTCGAGATTGTCAGTGGGATAAAAAAAAATAATAAAGAAACAATATTATATTAAATAGAAATTATCCTAAGGTCATTTCTTAATTTTACTTATTAGATTTACATCCGAAAAAAATAGCCTTATTTCGTCTAAAAAAAGTATTTGAACGTTAATGACTCATCTAAAATCTATAGAAAATAACCAAAATATTCGTTATTTGCGCGGATATTTATAATCTCTCTGTTGTAACCTAGAAATGGTTACTGAATGAGGAATAATCAAAACTGAGGTTGGAAATGAAATGGTAATCTTTATAACATCAACAAAATACAATATTCGCCAGCGGCGTGAAGTAGGTAAACAACTGCTAGTGGTGGACTACTTTAGACAGGATATTGGCCCCACTTAAAACAGTGTCCAACGTATTTATAAGGATTGGAACATATCCATTAGTGTTCACATGTACGGTATATGACAACAGATAATGAAGGGAATGAGATATATATGTAGACAGATAACGAAGGCACATAGATAGATAGATAGATAGATAGATAGATAGATGTTGTAACATAGAAAATTTTACGGCATGAGGAATAACAAAACAGAGGTTGGAAATGAAATGCTAATCTTTATAACATCAACAAAATACAATACTCGCCAGCGGCGTCAAGTAGGTAATCCACTGCTAGTGGTGGACTACCTAGACAGCATATTGGTCTCCGCTTAAAACAGTGTCCAGCGTATTCATGTGGATTAGGACATACTCATTAGCATTCATAAGAACGCTGTATAACAACAGATAATGAATAGATAGATATAGATAAATATATAAATAGATAACAAAAACAGATAGATAGATAGATAGATAGATAGATAGATAGATAGATGTTGCAACCTATGAAAGGGTTACTGATTGTGGAATAACCAAAACGGAGGTTGGAAATGAAATGGTATCTTTATCACGTCAAAAAATACAATACTCGCCAGCGGCGTGATGTAGGTAAACCACAGCTAGTCACGGAACTACTTAGACAGCATGTTACCCTCACTTACAATAGTGTCCAACGTATTAATGAGGATTAGGACATACCCATCAGTGTTCATAGGCACGCTGTATAACAACAGATAATGAATAGACAGATAGATAGATAGATTGACACAAGCTCGTCAGATAAGTAATTCACTGCCTTCACCTATCTGTTTACAGTCATATCACGTTGAAATTCCTGTTCAAGCAACGTCTAGATTGTATGCTGTAAGCTTGGATGTGCGGGTGGTGTAACGGATTACGGATTCGAATAGTGTCAGTGTGTCACACTTTTTCAACTTTACTCCTAGGGGCCGTAGCTCAACATATCTTACCATTTTCGAATCAGGCCGACTCCGTGAGCAAATTAAAAACATTCCGGGCCGGATCTGGACCCTCAATTATGAAATTCTGGATTCTCAAATTTTCATTACAGCGATTGTTTTCTGATCCCGCCATCTTGGCTTCTACTGATAAAAAAAATTAAAGGGACATAACTCTCTAACTTTCAATTGTCCGTGTTTTCAACTTTACTCCTAGAGGCCTTAGCCCAACATATACCATTTTGGAATAAGGCCGAGTCTGTGAGCAAATTAATAAACATTGTGGCTCGGATCCAGGCCCACAATCCTGAAATTTTGGATTCCCAAGTTTTTATCACTGTGGTTTTTCACGTGATTTTTTGCGACGAAGGTTTTTGTGCGCTGACAACTTTTATAACTTGGAAATAAATTTGCGAATAATCAAAATTAATTGCAAAAGTCACCCATGAAACAAAAATAATTGTTTTTTTACGTAAGGTAAGGACATACGTACATCAAATTGTCTTTAAATTAAGTGGCGGCAGAAGAATTATCGTTGAGCTTTTAAAAGTTAAGCTTAAATATTAATGCAATACTTTAAGTTCTTCTGTAGTTTATTGTTGTCTATCGCAACTACTTCTCCCTACCTATTGCGATGATGGCACAATTAAGAGACCTCCGCAGGAGCTAGCTAAAATGATGCCCGATATGGCGGGGCTTAAGCTAGTAATGTTAATATAGAAAAATATTTAATAATATAATAAAAAATGATAAGCCATAATATTACATGATTATAACATAATCAGAAAATTTACAAACGATTATTTCTTACAATGTTGTCCCCCCATACCCAAGGCATATATATATATATATATATATATATATATATATATATATATATATATATATATATATATATTCAAGATCCTACAGCCAGTTAGATTAGGGCTACAGAAATGTAGGACGCCCATGGCTATGATACAAGACAAGCTGAAAAGCAACTTGTCAGCAGTCAATATACCACAAAACACCCTTGAGCGCTTAGCCTTGGAGCGGGTAGAATGGAGACCAAGGTGTTTTAGTGGACTCAGCAATTTTCAATCTGCTTGTCTGAATCATCTTCAACAAGCAAGAGCAAGATCTAAAAAGTCAGCCAATCTAACAGTGATCTCGTCTCACAATCCTCACACTTGCTCCATATGTGGCCTCCTTTATAAATCACTAGCGGGTCTTAAATGCCACTTAAGATTATCGCATAAACTTTCATAACTGAATCAATAAGCTGTCAGATCCTCATACGTCAAAACCGACGGGAGAGTTCATTATATATATATTAATAATCAATACGTGGTGGACTCTCCCGTCGTATTCAACTTATGAGGGTGAAGCAACTCACTTCCGAGGGCACTAGCACAGAGATTTGATTATAGTGGTGAAGGCTTTGTACAAAGCCGAATTCAGAGAATTGGTGCACTACGTGCCACAAGGTCTCCAAACGACCTTCCGCGGGTTTTGAATTGAGTCTCTGAATTCAAAACAGACCTGAAAAGGATTGGGCTTCGGCAGGCTATCTAGCCCAAGAAACACCATTTCTGTTGCAGTATATTGTATTTGATGCACAGAAGCATGATTACACCTATTCGATCCGTTATTTCTATTCAGTCTATCTTATCGATTTTCTTGTCTCCATGTTTCAGGCGTTCTGTTATTTTCAGTTTGTTTTTTTCTGTCGATTCGGGTAAACCTCAGAGAAGTTTGAACTAAAACTTTCGTTTAAACTTCTGGCTTACAATAGTCTAGTTACGCTGTCCATATCTAGGGATAGGCCTTTTAATTAGTCTACTAGTTGCTGCAAAACCTGAATACGGGATAGAATTTAAAAAATTTCGACTGACTGTATCACTTAATGAATATATTTTTAGCATGCAGTTAGTAAACACTAAATATAAATATTATATATATATATATATATATATATATATATATATATATATATGCACCAGGTCTCTGTATTCGTCCCTTCAAAAGTGTGGATGGTCCTGCACGAGGCCTTCAGCACTATAATCAAATCTCATGTGCCGGTGTCGGGCTGTCGGTTTTCTGAAACTGATCTGCTTGACCCTCATACGTCGAATCTCGACGGGAGAGTCGATTATATATATATATATATATATATATATATATATATATATATATATATATATACAGGGTGGTCTAAAAGTAAGTGGACCGTAAATAATTACATTTATTTTGAGATTACATATACATACAATTATATTTGCTAACACAGTTATTTCATTGACAATTAAATTTTATTGTGAACATTAATACAAAGTCCTTAAATTTTATTGTATACAATAATACAAAAGCCCTTAAATTTTATTGTGAACAATAATACAGAAGCCCTTAAATTTTATTGTGAATAACAATACAAAAGCCCTTAAATTTTATTGTATACAATAATACAAAAGCTCTTAAATTTTATTGTGTACAATAATAAAAAAACCCTTAAATTTTATTGTGAAAAATAATAAAAAATCCCTTAAATTTTATTGTGAACAATAATACAAAACCCTTAAATTTTATTGTGAACAATAATACAAAAGCTCTCAAATTTTATCAACGCAGGTGCTCAAACTGTTTTCCATCACAATTTACACAGCTTTGAAGTCTACCTCTAACGCTTCGACAAACTTTTTTGCACAAGTCTTTATGGGTATTAATTTTATGAATTTTTTCATATCACCGACACTTTGTTCTTGAGTACTCCCCAAAAGAAGAAATCCATTGGGGTCAAGTCTAGTGAACGTGACGGCCAATCAATTGGACCTCTTCGGCCAATCCATTTCTCAGGTAGTTTCATCAAGATATTCAGCTGTAATGATATAACCGATACATAAACCTATTCCACATACAGTCCACCTAATTTTAGACCACCCTGTATATATATAGAATTCAGAGTTGTTGTTCTTCTAGACCAGTTGCCATCCAAAGCTATAGAAGCCAGCCTGTTATTTACCCATAGCTGAGCGGAAGATGAGGATTCATACCTCTCCCAAGTGTATTAGCACGTAAGTAAATGTAATGGATTCGACTGGAATTCGAACTCGGTTCTCCGATTCCTCAATCCTATGCCGATATCCATTAGGCCACCAAATTATTTAAATACTGGAATTTTTGTTTCAGCTATTTGAAAGAAAAGCAAACGATAAATATTTAGTAACTTAAAACAGAACAAAAACACAAATGTTAACTTTGGTTTTCAAACTAAAGAACTCTTGGCATTAAACTAAAGAATTTATGGTATTTTTCAGTCCCCAAATTGGTTGTGTGTGAAATGTTTAAAATCTTCAGCAGTTTCCTACCGGCAAATGCAAGGGAATTGTACGATTATCGGACAAAGAGAACGGATATCCTCCCACATCAGAATAACCAGAATCGGTCAGGGAATTAAGATTTATTTTGTTGATTTTTCATTCTTTTTGTCTTTTTTATAGAGTTTCCCTTTTTTCTAGCTTCAAGTTCATTCGTTCTTTTTTCTTTCTTTCTTTCTTTTGTTTCTCCTTATAATTTTCCTTTCTTTCTTATGCCGCCATTTCTTTCTTTCTTCCTTTCTTTCTTTCTTTCTTTCTTTCTTTTGTTTCTCCTTATAATTTTCCTTTCTTTCTTATGCCGCCATTTCTTTCTTTCTTCCTTTCTTTCTTTCTTTCTTTCTTTCTTTCTTTTGTTTCTCCTTATAATTTTCCTTTCTTTCTTATGCCGTCATTTCTTTTTTTTTTTTCTTTTCTTTCTTTCTTTCTTTCTTTCTTTCTTTCTTTCTTTCTTTCTTTCTTTCTTTCTTTCTTATCCTTCATTGCGCCTCTCTTTTGGTTTGTTTGTTGATTTTTCTTTCTTTTTATCTTTTTTATAGAGTTTCTCTTTTTTCTAGCTTCAAGTTCGTTCGTTCGTTTTTTCTTTCTTTCTTTCTTTCTTTCTTTCTTTCTTTCTTTCTTTCTTTCTTTCTTTGTGCATTTCCTTTACCTGTCCTTCTTTACTCCTCGTTTCTGTGTGTTCATTTTTATTTTCTTTCTTACTTTCTGTTGATTTTCCTTATAAAGTTTTCCTTATAGAGTTTTAACTTTTCTTTATTCCCCTTCCACTTCTTTCTTTCTTTCTTTCTTTCTTTCTTTCTTTCTTTCTGGTGATTTTATTATAGAGTTTTCCTTTCTTTCTTCCATCTTCCACTTTTTCAAATTCTTTCTTTACCCCTCCCATATTCTTTCTGTCTTTCTGTTTTTATCCATTTCTTTTTCATATCCTCCTTTATTCCTCTTTTCTTTCTTTCTTTCTTTCTTTCTTTGTCTATTTCATTTTCTTGCCCGCCTTAATTCCTCGCCTTTCTTTCTTTCTTTCTTTCTTTCTTTCTTTCTTTCTTTCTTTCTTTCTTTCTTTCTTATTAACCTCGCTTTCTTCTTCTCCGTGAAACCAAACAGTGTCTTTGATGTCTCTTTTTACTGTATTTTTTTTAAAAAAATGAAAGGGTCCATTATTTATCCGAGGCAATGACATGTTGTAACGCACATTCTAAATTACTAACGAAGAGTGAGGAAGATGCAGAACTATCGTATGGTTGCGTCTCAGAATGATGCCCTCATGTTGACAAGATTATTAACACTTCGACTAGATTCTGGTTACGTCATTTTGTAAACACCGTCATAATTTTATGATGTTATGTTCGCCATTTTTGTCAACTCACCACGGCATCAGTAATTGATAGACTCAGTGGCACTCATCATAAGACTGCTGGTAAACGGGTAAAATGAAGGTGTGTGTAATAATAAAATAAAAATTGATAATTTTAAAATAAAAATGAATAAAAAAAAAATCGAAACGGTAAGTAAATATAAGTTGAATAAAAAAAAATGAGGATAAGAGAAAAGAATCAGGGTTATGGCCAGAGGCGACCTCATTAAAATCAAATTACCTCGTTAAATTCACTTCCGAAATATCACCAATACTTTGCTCAGGGCATTTTGTCTCAGTATACAACAATGACTCTTAATTTATGGCCTTCAGATGCGTTCCAAATGTGTACACCAAGTCCTCCATCGCTTTTTCCTGCTGAGGCTATGAGACGAGACACTTCAAATTCCTTAGTGCAACAGCGTTTTATCATTACAAAAATAAAATATATTAAATAAATAAAAATAAAAGAATGAAATGAAAATGAATTAGCCCCATAGATCTAGAAATCCTTGTCAAAATATATATATATATATATATATATATATATATATATATATATATGTGTGTGTGTGTGTGTGTGTGTGTGTGTGTTTAAAATGTTTAAAATCTTCAGCAGTTTCCTACCGGCAAATGCAAGGGAATTGTACGATTATCGGACAAAGAGAACGGATATCCTCCCACATCAGAATAACCAGAATCGGTCAGGGAATTAAGATTTATTCTCGAAGATCTCAAAAGTTTCACCTCATGACCAAAAACACCAAAAGAATCAATTTAAATTCCATTTAGCAACCACGCCAAATGCAAGGCGTTTTTCGAAGCATAGTGGTTAAAATTGGCGAATCAAAGTGCATTGTTGGACTGTTAAGTCGACAATCCCGGATTACCTGTCACTCTTCCGGTAAATCAGTGGTACTTAACCGATAACATCATAGTGGTTAAGGTTAACTAGTAAGAGGCGCATTACTGGATTATTATAACTTTACATCTGTTGGATGGAGAAACCCGGATAATACGATATTGCTCCAGGAGCAAGTAATCCAGTTAATTAAGCGTGCTAATACATAAATTTAATAGTGGTTTAGCGAGTCAGAGGGTTATTGTAGGATTTTAGTAGCATTACATCTATTAAGACGGCAAACCCGGATATTCCGTCTTTGCTATAGCTTAAAATGTTACGATGCATCGGTGGTTGGAATACATTAATGGTACAGTATGAAATTGCCTTCAATTTCTTCATCCTTAGTTAAAAGCATAAAATTACGTAGCAGCTCAGTATTCCTTACTTTGTTAACGAAATCCTCCTGTCTCGTAATACTCTGCCTAGCTTTTGGAAGGCGATTTTCGCCATCCGAATACGTTTTCGGATCTCAGCGTCGTACTTACCGTCCTCTGTCAGAAGACATCCCATATATTTAAATTTCCGCAGCTGCTTGATTTTAGAGTCCCCCGACCCGTAAATCGCATTTCAGGCTCATCATTTCCCTGATGACCACGCATCTGTCTTCTTGCATCTTATGCTTAGTCTCTTCTCTTTCTCCTTCTTTACTTTCTGTAGGAGGTTTTTTAATTTCTTTTCCGTATCTGCTATCATAGTGGTAAAACTTAGAGAGTCAGAGGTGCATCCTAACAATGGGACAATTTTGCTGTTACACGGCTTGGTTAATTTTGCTGTTGCACGAGTTGGCCAATATTGCTTTTACACGATTTGGAAAAATTGATGTTACACGATTTGAACAATTTTGATATGGCACGATTTGTGAAATTTTGCTCTTACACGATTTGGCTAATTTTGATGTTACACGATTTGGCCAATTTTGATGTTACAGGATTTAGCCAATTTTGATGTTACAGGATTTGGGAAATTTCTATAAGACACGATTTGGACAATTTTGATGTTACACAATTTGTACGATTTTGCTGTTACATGATTTGGACGATTTTGCTGTTAGACAATTCGGACAATTTTGCTGTTACACGATTTGTACAACTTTGCTGTTACACAATTTGGTCAATTTTGATGTTGGACCCGGTATATGTTGGGGATTTCCGGCCTTCTCTCGGCTTAATTAGCTCTCAATAACGGCAACATCTCTATAAGCCTGTAGTCGGCTTCTTCATATGTTAATCTGGCAGCTTTGAATGTGTCAAGGGGGGGCACCAGTTCGACGGAGTAAGTTCATTTTGTTTTCATTTTAACTGCAGATAGAAAAATGCGACACTGAGATCCGAACGTGCATCGGAGTAACAAAAGATGCCTTCCAAAACATAAGTAAAGTATTAAGAAACAGAAAAAGTTTCGTTAGAAAAAAAAGAAAAGCGTGCTAAGCTTGTATGTATTAACAATTTTCTTGTATGTCAGTGACTGATGAACATTATCCTCAAAGATGGACAGTAGACGTGAGGGATATACTGTAATAAAAATTATATGACTATAGAAGATTCGTTCTTACCGTAGATCTTATTAGGCACAATAAGAGATTAACAACAATAATAAAATATAACAATTATAACAACAGACCTAATAAAAGTTAGGTGACGGATAGAAGATTCGTTCTTACCATAGATTTTTTATAGGCACAATAAGAGATTAACAACAATAATAACAAAATAGCAACAATACAATTTTATAGTAAAAATGACAATCAATGCAACAGTAATATATATATATATATATATATATATATATATATATATATATATATATATATATATAATACATTTTCGTAGTAAAATTACCAACAATACGTTTTATGACCTACAAACTATCTATCTAAAACAACATACCTTTACCATAAATATAAAATTATGTAGAAAGTACATGTAGTTGAAAGAATAAAATTACATATAAAATATTCGGGTTGATATACCGCTAGAGAAAATCGATAAACCAACAAATTATGTCCAATAAGAGATTATGGACAATAACTAATAAAATAGAACAATTATAACAACAGACCTAATAAAACTTATGGGACGGATAGAAGATTCGTTCTTACAGGAGATCTTATTAGGCACAATAAGAGACAAACAAGACCTAAAAATAAAATAGAGTAATTATTAGGTACAATAAGAGCTTAATACCAATAAGTAATAATAAAATAGAACTATTAGAACAATAGACTGTAATCAGAGTTATTAGATAGATAGGAGATTCGTTCTTACCGTGGATGTTATTAGGCACAATAAGAGATTAACAGTAACTAATAATAAAATAGAGCAATTATAACAACAGACCTAATAAAAGTTATGTGACGGATAGAAGATTCCTTCTTACCATAGATTTTATTAGGCACAATAAGAGATTAACAGTAACTAATAATAAAATAGAGCAATTATAACAACAGACCTAATAAAAGTTATGTGACGGATAGAAGATTCCTTCTTACCATAGATTTTATTAGGCACAATAAGAGATTAACAGTAACTAATAATAAAATAGAGCAATTATAACAACAGACCTAATAAAAGTTATGTGACGGATAGAAGATTCCTTCTTACCATAGATTTTATTAGGCACAATAAGAGATTAACAGTAACTAATAATAAAATAGAGCAATTATAACAACAGACCTAATAAAAGTTATGTGACGGATAGAAGATTCCTTCTTACCATAGATTTTATTAGGCACAATAAGAGATTAACAGTAACTAATAATAAAATAGAGCAATTATAACAACAGACCTAATAAAAGTTATGTGACGGATAGAAGATTCCTTCTTACCATAGATTTTATTAGGCACAATAAGAGATTAACAGTAACTAATAATAAAATAGAGCAATTATAACAACAGACCTAATAAAAGTTATGTGACGGATAGAAGATTCCTTCTTACCATAGATTTTATTAGGCACAATAAAGATTAACAGTAACTAATAATAAAATAGAGCAATTATAACAACAGACCTAATAAAAGTTATGTGACGGATAGAAGATTCCTTCTTACCATAGATTTTATTAGGCACAATAAGAGATTAACAAGAACTAAAAATAAAATAGAACAATTATTAAGCACAATAAGAGCTTAATACCAATAAGTAAGAATAAAATAGAACTATTATAACAATAGACTGTAATCAGAGTTATTAGATAGATAGGAGATTCGTTCTTACCGTGGATGTTATTAGGCACAATAAGAGATTAACAACAATAACTGTTATAAATTACGGCAGTGGTGGATTGAGGGTGGGAGAAACACCTATTGTGATAGCTTACCCTGTCACTACGAGGTTAACAGAAAGAAAAGAGCAAATAAATGTAACAAAAATGACACTGCCTCAGAACGCACAACAACTTCACGAACAAAATGACACCGGGATCAAAGAATTTTGCATGGAAGCGTAGCAGAGAAGGATGGAGAAGTGCATTAGACTCGAGGGGTGTCATTTTGAAGAGAAATCCATGTAGTTTGTTGTTTGAAATTGAAATAAATTGTTTGTGACACTTGTCCTCCTACTTTTCAGCTAGACCACGTATATATGGCAAAGTAGCATGTCATGAGAATCAAAATTTTATGGGGAATGGAACAACAAAAAGGAACATATAAGTATTTTATTTTCACTTTCTTCAGACATTTTTTAAATTAAAACATTTATAAATTAAAGACAGACACAAAGAGATGCCGCTTTGCCGTTTCGTCCAGTTGTTTGTAAAATAATTATTTATATTTCAGCTTTCTTTAAACAGACAATATTTTAATTATTTCAAATTATTTTTTGGCATATTTAAAAA